TTGTAAGCTCTAATTGGGTTATCATCAATCACCAAAAAGGGGATATTGAAAGTGCAATCAAGTCCTAATTGTGGGTTTTGGTGATAATGACCACGCAATTAGAGAACCAATGAGATTTATCGAGATGACAAGCAGGGAATTTATATTCGAGGATGCTACACGAAACGGAGGAGCCCCAATTACAAATGTTGATGGCTTCAAACTCAAAGGAGGTTTAAATTCTTTTATATTTTGAATTTGAGTATAGAAAAAGCCGTACTATAAAGGAGGACACAATGCTTAAACTAACATGTGCTACCAAGTGCTCAAACATACACATGCATCCTCAGATTCACAACCAAGACAGCATAAACTTCACTTTTACCCTTGTTATCTTGATAGGTGTGGTACTGCCGCACTTGAAGAGAGGCACTGCCGCAGTACGGCACTGTCGTACTTAAGTGACCGTTGGGGCTGAGGGGGTATTTATACCCATTCTTTTCCTCCCCAACGGCCATCTTCTTCCTCCTGCTCATTACAGCATGCCCAAAAATAGAAAAGGAGCTCTCTTCTCTTCCTCCATTAGTGACCTTGAGCTCTCAAGCAAATCCATTGATTTCCTCATCAATCCTTGAGAGAAAAGGATCCAAAACTCGATTAGAGAGTAGCTCCATTGATTCCTCAACTCAAAAGGGCACTTGGTTCATGTTTTGGCTGATGGTTGTGTTTGTTACTCTTGGAGCTTGGCTTCTAGCCGGCTAGAGCATCGCCCATGGAACTTGCCAACTTGTGTGGCAGCCCCAGGAGGTTTATAACATCTCTTAAAGCTAGTAAACTTACCCCTCATCTCAAGAGTTAAGTCTCTTGACTTGAGAACGAGGAAGGGTTGAAAGCCCTAAGCCTTAGTGGCTAACCTCAACAATGTGGACGTAGGCAAGCCTTGGTGGCAAGCCGAAACATGGGATAAATCATTGTATCTCTTGTGTTTGATTTACATTACTTGCATGTCATATTCTTATTGAGGTGATTTCTAGGGTTTCTAGTCGATCTACTTATGTGTGGTGTTCCTACAACTTCTAGCACTTGATCTGTGACTATCATACGTGCAGTAGGTTGAAAAATTTCTCTAATCTAAGTTTCCGTTCACTGATTTTAAACTGTGACTCAAAGTTGTCTGCAGGTACGGCAGTGCCGCTGTTCTGGTCAGGCAGTGTCGTAGTCCAGCAGTGCCGCCCTCCAGAGCGGTAGTGCCATAGGGTGAATTTGATAAAAGTTTGAGTGTTTATTTTGACATGCCTATTCAACCCCCTCTCAGCCAACCAGAGATCCTACAGTCCTCCTCAGGGTCCTCAGGCTCCTCAGGCTCCTGTTGACGCTAACTTGGCGTCGGGTGCATAGAGGTGCGTGCACGAGACGACCGATGGAGCTGAGGCGCCTCTGTCTGCTGGGGCTCTAAAGACTGAGTCTCTATAGCTAAAAGTCCAATACGTAGAGATCCACCCCTGCCACCTCTCACACCTCTGTCGTAAGCTGCAGCTGCCGCAAGTGCCTGCTCAACCTCCCTGTGCTGCCGCTTCCACATCTTTGTCTGCTCAATCACCTTGGCTTTCCCCTTGTCTCCTGATGGCTGGCAAGGGTCATGGCCGCCACCACTCCCTCCAGCTGGAGGAGTGGGACCAGTGCGCTTTAAACGCGCCATAGCTGCCACTGATAAGAATTCCTCTGAATCAAGCACTCACTGTCACTATGAGATCAACTACCAAGAATCAACTGCCAGAGAACAAAACTCCCCCTGACTCAAGTCATCCTACCTAACTGACACTCAAGAGGCTTGGCCTCTGCAGTACAACGCAGACACTCATAAGTCACAACATACGTACACTCACTCCAATGAAAAATATTTGCAAAAATAACAAGTTGACTCTAGAGGCTTCGTCACCATCATGTTTGGGCTCTGGCGAGACAATGAAATCGTCTTTTTCTCGATTATACAGTACAACGCAGACACTCACAAGTCACAACGCATGTACACTCATTCCTATGAACGCCATTTATTCCTCGAGATTGACGAAGTTACCATAGGTACCTCGTTGTCGACAGACACTCACAACGCACCTCTGAAAGCAAAAACACTGTTCAATCCATAAAAATTTTGCTCCCATGAGGAGTAGAAACCAAGACCTGAGGTGCTACTGAGGCTCTTGTAACCACTAAGCAACAAGCTCTTTCATGATTTTATCTCTCTTCTACATAACATGTCTTAAAAGATCTTAACTTTTTCATATAAACCTGGATGGCAAAAAAATTATACGAGATTTATATAATTTGACGAGACCTATAGTTTTATAGTTCACCATTTGTTTGAGTACATCTTGGTGCCAAAAATAATATTTAATTGCATCAATTATTTCTTTTTTTTTTTGCGAAAATTGCATCAGTTATTTCAACACCAAGATTCCTTTAAATCAAAATGGCAAAATGTGATGAACTATAAAGTTTTAGATCTTATATATCTCTGACAATTTTTGTATAAATTTATGTGATATCATATGAAAAAAGTTGAGAATCTTGAAGAGATGATTTATCCATTTCCTAGGAAAATCATATCACCTCATACTGAACAAACTTATATGGTACTCCCTCCGTCCCAAAATAAGTGACGTTTTTTTTACTTTTAGACGTCTTGTTTAACGTTCGTTTTATTCACAAATTTTGTATAAATATGATCTATTTTGTTATGACTTATTTTAGCATTTGAGATACTTTAATAATGATTTATTTATTTTATAATTTGCACAAAAATGTGGAATAAGACGTAATACGATATCAAAAAAGTAAAAAAGTCACTTATTTTGGGATGGAGGGAGTATTCATAGTGCTTAATGAGATCTACTCCCTCCGTCCTATAAAACATGTGAATATCGGTTTTCAAGGCCAATTTAGCACAAGTGTGAAATTACGTTTTTCCTATCTATCTAGAGTATTCTTTGGAAGTTCAAGACAGTGGTGGAACAATACCAACCACATAACAACATTGAAATATCTAGAGTATTCTGACATGGTTTTTTTTATTCGGTGGGATTCACTCAAAAAAGCAGACCACAACTTAGAATTACATGTTTTTGGAGATAAGATTTGAACGAAAGAATTACATGTTTTTTGAGACGGAGTGATACATCTACAACTTAATAGTGCACCATCATGTTTCTTTCTAGAGTCATCTTGTTGCATAAATATTCGATACAGTGTTCAAGGTCTTAATTTACAAATTTGAGCATTGTATCAGTCATTTTTGGCACCCAAATTTGCTTCAGACGAATAAATGGTCAACTACTTGATTGTAGATCTCGATAAGCTGTATAATGTTCAAGCTCATACAAAAAGTTATGTTTTTTTTCAAGACGTCCTTTGCAATGTCACACCAACAAATTGTGACAGGTATATTTGTTAAAATTTGAAAGGGCCAATTACTTATGCAAATATTCTTTTAAAAATATATAAAAACATTGTCAGGCAGGAATCCGACATGGCGACATCAGCGTCAGCCATTAGCCCATTTTGTTGGCCTAAAATGCTACCGTGTTGTTTTTTTCCTCGCAAAAAAAAAAGCCATTCAGCCCATTTTGTTGGCCTCAAATGCTACCGTGGCAGGTTGGCGGCCCATCGCGGCTTCCGCAGCCCAGCAAACCCCAAACCCCGTCGCGCTGAACGGAACGGTGGAAGTTGCGGGCACCCGCGCCGCCCGTCAGTCATGGCGCCGCCGCGGCCACTACATGCCTCATCTTCCTTCCCTTTACCTCGCCGCCATCCTATCCCATTCCCCCACCACTACCGCCGGCTACGCCTCTACTTGCGACCACCTACCATTGGCAATGGCCCCCGGCCCCGGCCGGGATGTAAGGTCGGAAACCGTCCTAAATCCTAGGGACCATCTGCCACTGGCCCCCAATGCCGATGCCGTCGCCGTGCCCGACCGCGGCAAGCTACTATCCCTTGGGAGTTTGGAGCTCCGCCTGACGGTAACCTGATTCTCAGCATCTCCCTCTTCCATCCCGGTTTACTTCTCAACCCAGACTCTTTCCTTGCGCAGACCAGCAGCATATCACTGCTTATTGCAGTTCGGTATCAAATGTCAATTATTCACGTTTTCACCGTGCCGTGCAAGGTGCAAGCCCGGAATTTCCTGTTCATTGATTTCTGTGCAATTTCCAGCTAGGGCCTCGTTTAGATTGCAAATTTTTGCAATCTGAACACTGTAGCACATTTCGTTTGTATTTGACAAACTTTGTCCGATCATGGACTAACTAGGCTCAAAAGATTCGTCTCGTGATTTACAACCAAACTGTATAATTAGTTATTTTTTTTACCTACATTTAATGCTCCATGCATGCGTCTAAAAATTAATGTGATGGAGAGAGAGTGAAAAAACTTGAAATTTTGAGGCAATCTAAACAAGGCCTAGCTGGAAGTATCTTTGTAGATTGATGTGGTACTAGCACGATCACACACAAGCCAATGCTTTTCTTGGTCTGTAATTTTCCACAGTAGACCTGTCGCAATGCTGAATAATCCACTGATGGCTGTGCTAGAATGACAGCTTTGACCTATGCGGCGGCGAGTGTCGCATCAGCTATTTTGCCACACACATCTTGGATTTCTTCGGGCATCGAATCTCCAAACTTGATGCTCTTGCTGTTATCCTATGTTTCTACAGTCAGGAATAACCGAATAAATGTATCCCTTCATCCTCAGTATACACCTGAAATCTGAGCTTCAACATACGACAACCGATGGCACTATCCTTAGTCTAATTTTTCATTAGCGAGCTGGATTGTTCCCCCTTTTCCATGTGAATTTGACAACTGACCAGCATCTGAGTTGGAGGGACAGAAAAATCTGAGCATCCGTGTCATTTTCTACTCCTTGGAGTTAACTGTCCGAGGGTTCAGTCTTAGCTACCATCGTGCTATCTCCTTGCTGTGTTCTCCACAACCATATACCAACTTGCCAAGGAAGGCCTAATGGCCATGGCTTACCTCCCCATTTTCGTGTTCTTGTTCATGGCTGTCTTATGCCAATCCGATGACAGGCTAACACCTGCAAAGCCACTCTTGCCCAGCGAGGTGCTCGTCTCAGACGGTGGTGTCTTTGCTCTTGGCTTCTTCTCCCTGAAGAACTCTTCAAGCTCATATGTCGGAATATGGTACAACAACATCCCCAAGCGCACATACGTGTGGATTGCCAACCGCGACAACCCAATTACCGCCAATGTGCCTGGGAAGCTAGTTTTTACCAACAGTTCTGACCTTGTCTTGTTAGACTCCACAGGCCGCACGATCTGGATGACGACAAACAACAGCACCGCAGGAGGCGGTGAAACTGCTTCCATCCTGCTCGACTCGGGGAACTTGGTTATCCGTTCGCCAAATGGCACTGACATATGGGAGAGCTTCAATTACCCGACTGACACAGTTGTCCCCAATGTAAATTTTTCACTGAGCACAGCTTATGGTGCTACATGCCTTGTTGCCTGGAAGGGGCCTGATGACCCATCCAGCAGTGATTTCTCCTTGGGTGGCGACCCTAGCTCAGATCTCTAGATTGTCGCTTGGAATGGGACACAGCCATACTGGAGAAGAGCCGCATGGGGTGGTGAATTGGTACATGGCATATTCCAAAACAACACAAGCTTCATGATGTACCAAACAATTGTCGATACAGGAAACGGGTATTATCTGCAACTGACTGTGCCTGATGGCTCACCGAGTATACGCTTAACTTTGGATTACACAGGCATGTTCACTTTCCGAAGATGGAACAACAACACGTCTTCGTGGATAATCTTCAACCAATTCCCCAATCCATCCTGTGACAGGTATGCCTCTTGTGGCCCATTTGGCTACTGCGATGCCACAGAATCTGTTCCAGCATGCAAGTGCCTTGATGGGTTTGAGCCCAATGGTCTTGATTTTTCCAAAGGATGTCGGAGAAAGGATGAGCTGAAATGTAGTGATAGAGATAGATTCTTAACCTTACCCACCATGAGAACTCCTGATAAGTTCTTATACATCAAGCACAGAAGCTTCGACCAGTGCACTGCAGAGTGTAGTCACAACTGCTCATGCACAGCATATGCTTATGCTAACCTGCAAAATATTGACACGACGCTGGATCGGTCGAGGTGCTTGGTTTGGATGGGGGAACTTGTCGATATGGAGAAATTTAATAACGATTTTGGTGAGAACCTGTATCTTCGGAGTCCCAGCTCACCTGGTATATACTTTTCCTTGTGCACTTATTCATTTTATAGTCTCATCAATGCTCGCGATGGGTTGCCAATTCACATATGGATTACTAAATATACTAGTGCTACTAAACCATGCTGCAGTGACACTTGCCTGTAATTGATGCTGCCTCAATCAGTCTCAATTCTAGGCAAGACCATCTAGGCACCAATGCTTTCCCTTGCTACAGTTGCAAATTGTGTAAGCAGCGCTCTTCAAAAAAATTGAACCACACTAGCCACAGTTTTCACTTTTGTCATTGTATATATGATCAGTCTTGTTGTAGTCCTGTTCAGTCTGCCTATTGTCCATGCAAAAGGTGCCATGCTCTCCAATTCTCTATTCTACTTCAGGACCATGTCACATGTCATTCAATTCATCAGAGTATGAAGATTTACCAATTCATCTAAGGTTTTTAATACTCATGTACTTGTATACTACCTTGTGTTGGGGAAATGCCCAGCCCCCCAGGATGTCTAGACAGTGTATAGTTGCACCACAGAGTGGACAGTGACCCTCAAATACCATTGGCATATTAAAGGAAAGAAACTCCAAGATACCCTCATATATGTATATTATAATGAAACCCCTAGGAGTAAGGTGGTAATTCATCCCATCCCTTCTCTCTATAATGCACCCTCCAGAGGATAAGGGGGTTTGATACCTTTTATCGCAATTCAACACTCTCATACTCTCTTAGCTCCTCTCCTCACACTATCTCCATGCTTGGAGGGCTCTCGGTGTTATCGTCTGCTAGGGGTTTTTTATTGCCTAAAACCTAGTTTGATGCTTGCAGAACAGCAGAAGCACCAGAGCTTCAATTAATCTCAAATGATCACAAAGCAATAACTCTAGTTTTAGTGTTGGAAATAATTTTAGTGTTAGAATGAAGGGCGGGCCTGGTGCAAGCGGTAGAGTCTTACCGCCTGTGACCGGAAGGTCCCGGGTTCGAGTCGCGGTCTCCTCGTATTGCACAAGCGAGGGTAAGGCTTGCCACTGACACCCTTCCTCAGACCCCGCACAGCGCGGGAGCTCTCTGCACTGGGTACGCCCTTTTTTTAGACTGAAAAAAAAAATCATGGAAAACCACTTTCAAGAATTGTGTGGTGATAGATTGGAGTTTTGACAATGTTATTCTCTTTGTGGACTACATTTGTGCAGTTAGTAAGAAGAAGAGCATTGTATTGAAGATTGTACTCCCGGTTATGGCTAGTTTGCTTCTTCTAATAACATGTACATGGCTTGTATTCAAGTCAAAAGGTAGGACACTACTTCACTTTTCAGAGTGCAGTGTTAATGAGGTACTCATAAAAAAGGATACTGATATCAATGTGTCCATTCCTGCCAGGCAAACACAAAAGCAAGAAAAGTCAGTATACACTGCCACACTTGGATGCTTCCAACAGGTTTGAGAACGAAAACTTGGAATTTCCATCAATTGCCTTAGAAGACATCATCATTGCGACAAACAACTTCTCTGATTATAACATGCTTGGAAAAGGTGGCTTCGGAAAAGTTTACAAGGTAATTAGAAGTCTTAGCTTGATAATTTCAGTAGAAGAAATATTGGTTATCTGGCTCAATCGACAAACGGTGACCTCATGTAGGCAATGTTGGAAGGTGGCAAGGAAGTAGCTGTCAAAAGGCTCAGTAAAGGTTCTACACAGGGGGTCGAGGAATTTAGAAATGAAGTAGTTCTGATTGCCAAACTGCAGCACAGAAACTTAGTTAAACTTCTTGGTTGCTGTATTCATGAAGATGAGAAGTTACTGATATATGAATACTTACCAAACAAAAGCCTGGATGCCTTCCTTTTTGGTACGTTCTGATTTCATTTCACATATTACGAAACAATTTTAGACTAACTGAAATTATGACTCACAATACATCATTTCACACTAATCTTGGAAGATGCTGCAAGAAAATCTGTGCTTGATTGGCCATCCCACTTCAAAATAATTAAAGGTGTAGCACGAGGACTTCTTTATCTCCACCAGGATTCAAGATTAACGATAATTCATAGAGATCTCAAAGCAAGCAACATCTTGTTGGACACAGAAATGTATCAGATTTCGGTATGGCCAGGATTTTTGGTGGCAATGAGCAACAGGCAAACACTACTCGAGTAGTTGGAACATAGTAAGTAATTCGTCCACAAGCCAATGTTTAACATGATAAATATATATATGTAGTTTAACTAATTCAAAATGTACATCCCATTTCTTTTCTTCTCTGAAATGGTTCAAACAGTGGTTACATGTCTCCTGAATATGCTATGAAAGGCTCATTCTCTGTCAAGTCTGACACCTATAGCTTTGGTGTTCTACTACTGGAGATTGTAAGCGGCTTAAAGATCGGCTCACCCCATCTGATAATGGACTCTCCAAACCTTATTGCTTATGTAAGTACAGATGAATTCCTGACTATTGAACATCTCAAAAACTCTTTTGGTGACTTGACCAGAATTCAGTTTCATTGGCTCAGGCATGGAGCTTATGGGAAGATGGAAATACAAGGGAATTTGTGGACTCATCGGTTTTGGAGAGTTGTTCACTTCAGTAAGTTATACGATGTATTCACTTAGGTCTTTTATGCGTCCAAGACAATCCAAATGCGAGGCCACTCATGTCATCCATTGTGTTCATGCTAGAAAATGAAACAGCCCCACTTCCTACCCCAAAGGAACCTGTATATTTTACTATTAGGAATTATGAAACCTATCAGTCAAATCAATACATGCGAAGATCGCTGAATAACATGAGTATCACAACTCTAGAGGGGCGTTAAATGTTTAGTTTCATTGTTCGTTATTTTGGTAAACTTCTTTACTGTGTGCTGCTGTACAATTACACTAGCCGTTCAGGTTTGTACACAGAAAATGTTCCATTAAATATGTTGTACACCATCGGTGGTTGTATTAATATATTCTCGAGATTGTAAAGTTCACTAGTTTTTACAACTGTTTCCGCATGTCAAATGGAACACGGCTATCTGATCATGTGTGTATCACTCACTACTCACTAGTCACTAGTCACTCCTGCTGTTGCTTTACCTGTAAGAATTTCCTGCTTCTTGGATTTATCTGGCAGTCAATGAGTGTGAAACTCTGAATCGGTGACTTCTATCACAAGAAAGCTGGTGAAAATTTCTTTGTTCTCTCTGAATTTGCAAGCAACCATCATCGTTTTTACTACTACACATCTTATTATGAAGAAATGAGCATTGTATGGCGTACAATTCTTTTATCGTAATCTGATGCTAGGATGTGAGTTTATTTCCCTATTGTTACACTGTTTTTATTCATGCTGAAGAATGCCCCTGTTAACAACTCTCCTACTGCAGCAATGGGCAGAGAAGGGAAGCAGAGGAAGGAGAGGAACAGCGCAGTCGGGTTCAAGTTTGCTTGTTTAATTTAATAATTGGATATTCTGTTACACGGCGACTGCACCTTTGTATCCGCACGCAGGCGGTGGGCTTGGGCTGAAGACGACGATGCGGCGACGGATACAAACGGGTTAGCTCTTCTAGTCTTCTGAGCCTTCTTGCTCGTGACGACGCCAGCCCAACACTCGTACCTTCCTTCCCGCGCTTCCTACCATCATCAGACAGGTGCTGGCTGCTAACAGGCAAAGTCGCAAAGACACTTCCACTGAATGGTCGTTGGCAGGATACAGTCATCTGCAGTCACTGCAATCGCTTCTATGAATCGCTACCATAGTTTGTGTCGGGTCGTGCAGTGTTTTTTTTTTGTAATTACGACTCTGGGGTAGCTTGTGTTCACTCCTTCACGGTAATTCTCATTGCCGTTGGGGATTGCTTGTAATGGTTCACTCTTCTACCTCTTAATTGAAAACGTGCAATAGCACAGTCGCGAAAAAAAACTTAGAGCCAGTCTAAGTGTCTAACACAGGCAAAGACACTTCCACTGAATTTCAGAAACCACATTCAAGTTTTTAGTTTTCGTATTGACGCTGCATCTTTCTCCGATTCATCCAGAAAATATTTTCCGTTCCACAAGTAGCAATATCAAACTAGGTTTTCTAATACTCTGAAGAAAACACCTTGTAACTAGCTGAATCACTGGTTCGTTTGCATGGTTTAATTTGTAGCTTATTTTAGCCTGTCATGAAAACTCTGAGATCTTAGAGCAACTCCAAGAGAGGAGCTATTTGTGTTGTGGGGTCTACTTTTTGGTATTTTCTGAAAAAAGTAGGGTCCAACAGCCGTTGCTCACGATTTCCTAATTGCTTTGGTTATAGTGCCCCATTTGATCAGAAATTCTTTTTCAAAAGATGATGGTCTCAAAGAAATTTTCCATTTCAACAGTCATGTCTTGTAGCTTGTAGGTGTTGATCACGCCGTCGAAGAACTAAGAAAAAGAAGTGCTGAATTGTACTTCGGTCTCCTGCAAGACTGGTGGAGTTGAACTGTTCTTGCATATGATTGCATTATGAGTTCACCGTATTGGGTTTACCATTTCACTAGCTCAAGCGTCAAACGGTCAAACCGCATGTTAGTACATGTATCTTTCAAGTTTCATTCATGCAAGTGAAAACAAGCTAGTCTGAAAAATGAAAAGTCAGTTCATTTTCTTCAAACTTCAAAATTCAGTTAAAGATACAATGCACTGCATCTTTACACACGTCAACAAATACAGATTTGGTGTTACTAATCTAACTTTAAGTAACAATATTCACAACGCACGCACACTCAACCCTATGAACATACGCATGCAAACCCTACCCCTATGAGACGAAGTCACCACAGGCGTCTCGCTGTCGACAAGAACGTCGCCTACCACTGAGGACCTAAGGTGTTACTAAGACTCTACATGCCCTTTCATGGTGTGCAACTCTCCTACATGTTTAAGAAAAAAATGCATGGAGTCTAAAATATATCCCCAATCCCTTATATTTGGGGAACAAATTTTAAATGCTTCTGTCCCCACTATTATAGAATTGATGGATGTTTATCTAATCATTCACAGTCAGGGTTTTCAATTTCGGTAGTAGAAAATTTCAGCCACCCCTGAAGTTATCGAAATTCGTGAAATTTGGCTAAAATTTCGCCAAATTTTTTTTAGAGACTTGCACATAAAGTATACTTTTTTCAAAAAAAATAGATCTAAACAAATATTACATGATTTATGACTACACATCTATTGAGTAGAAAAATATGCAACATAAACAATAGAAAATATGAGTCTAGATTTATATAGCATATGTATTAGTGTATTACAAAATTTCAGATTTTTCTTTTGTCCACCACCGAAATTCGCTAAATTTCACCGAAATTTTGAACCCTGGTCACAGTCCGGGTTCAAAATTTCGGCGAAATTTCGGCCGAATTTCACGAAATTCGGTAATTTCGGTGGTGGCCAAAAGAAAACTCCGAAATTTTTTAATACACTAATACATGTGCTATATAACTTTAATCTTATATTTTTCTATTGTTTATATTGCATATTCTTCTATTTAATAGATATGTAGTCATAAATCATACTAATATTTGTTTAGATCCAAATTTTTTAGAAAAACATACTTCATGTGCTAATCTCTAAAAAAATTCAAGAAATTTCAGCCGATTTCATGAATTTCAATTTTCGATGGGTAAAATTTTTTACGATACCGAAATTAAAAACCTTGGTCACAGTAACAGTACAAACAAAGCCATAGCAAGCAAATTTCTTATCATAAAACATTCTTTTAAAAAAAAGAGATCCAACCTAGGAAGAATTAGGTGGTATTTCATTAAAAGGTCATAAAATAGGTGGTATTTCATTAAAAAGGTCATAAAATATACTCTTTTGCTAAAGTTATATGTTACTCCCTTCGTCCCAAAATATAAGTGCCGTCATGGTATTCATGCCGGTCAAACTTTTTTAAGTTTGACTAGATTTGTAGAAAATATTATCAATATTTTTATCTTAAAAAAGTTTAGTATGCAAATAGATTCAATGATTTATTTACTGATACTAATTATGTACTATAAATATTAATATTTTTATATATTTATTACTCAAAGTTAAAAGTGTTTGACAAACGACACTTATTTTAGGACAGATAGGGAGTATATGATATGATCAGCATATGCAAAACTAGTTTGTCGGATATTATATATTACATACAAGCGTCTTGTACTTATGCAGTAATCCGACGTATCAGATCAAACTGGAGCTTTCCATCGAGTTAGTTCTCCATACCGAAATGAAGGGAACTACTCCTATTTGCTTGGGTAGCATTGCCATTTTATTAGAAAACTGATAATCGGTATTAGTTTACTTAGTATAGAGATGTGATATACTATAAGACCAAGAGCACAAACTTGTGCATTAGAAGACGTATACTCTTACATCAATTAATATGCATTTGTGTAGTACGTGTCCACATCATGATATAAAACTGCAGCAGAATATATATGCATATGCAAAAGTTAAGCATGCGCTGATATCCACTACGGAATTGGAATAATTTAACCTCAAAAGGCACATCTGTACAAATTCTTGAAGCCGATACTTGTAATATCAAAATATATATGTGGTTTAGATTCAAAAGAGAAGCTAGCCAAAAGCGTGCTCCGATCAATCAAAGAGATGTCACTTTTTATTTGGTAGTACAATCAATAGAAACCTGCTACACACTTTGATCCATTCCATCGTCACTAGTTTAAACTAGAAACCATTACACACATCGATCTTTAACAAATCCTTCCTCAACTACCCAATGATGCAACCTAACAACCAATCATAATTAGAAGCTGATGACGATCAGTAGAGACTTGTTGTGTCCTCTCAAATATATATTAGATGATCTCTTATTCCCTGATGATGGATAGATGAACCTGGAGAATGAATCCAAGTCTTCAAGGACTCATTCCAAAGGTTCATCTCTAGCTAGTAAGCAAGCTCAGTCTGCAATCCTTTTTCATTGCCAGAGCTGCTGCATGCTTAGTACTACAGTTACGAGAGATAACGAACCATGACCATACACTGCTAGAACTAGACTAAGAAACATGGATATATATATCATCAGGCCAGGTCGATCGATCGATCTGTGGTAGCTAGCTAGTTGCTCGTTCGACGCCTCTGATCAGAGCTTTGGAGTACGTCTTCTTCTACCTAAAGTTGGCAGCAAATGGAGTGCTCCACACGAAGTCGACGGGCACCGCTGGCTACCGCGAACGTGCTCGATATCGGGACCAGGCACAGCCCCCGGCCCTTGAGCGATACCTCGCCATGGCTGTCGTCCTTGGACTTGTCAGGACTTGAGCTCTGAAACCAAACGCACGCACGCACGCACGCATATAAAGCCATCAGCACACTTGAACAGTTGATTCAGTTCAGCAAGTACCATGATCCATCACAATGAAAAGGAGAGCATGCAAGCAAGCATGCAGCTAGCATGCACGCTTGCACAGTGACACTGGTACCTACCTTCAAGTGGGGCCCTTGATGATGGTCGTTGTTCTTCAAGTATGGAGCACTAAGGACCTGCAGAAAACAAGGCGCAAACAACACAATGTCAATGCAGCTAGCTTTGGTCGATCGATCAGTCCCCTTCTGATGATTCGTGTGTAGAAAACGTGCGAGAGCCGGTGCTTCAGGCTTCAGATGTGCTATGATTAAAGGTGTGGAATCATGGTAGTACTCGCATACGCACACAAACACTTACACCAACTTGGTCGTGGAGGAACTTGATGTACTCGATGGTCTCATGGAGCACCGATGCCGTATCCGTCTGCACGCGCATCGAGAAATAAGCAGGTTTTCAGAGATTGTGCATATAGATTTGAGGTTAGATCTCCAGAGGAGAAAAGGAACATGTCTTTTGCAGGGACGGAAGATGTTAGATGTTGGCAGTAGAAGGACGTTATGGGATACATGTAAGTCAAACTTTCTTAACTTTGAGTGATTTGTAGAAAATGCATGCAACATTTTTATCTCTAAAAAAATTTATTATGAAAGTACATTCAACTATCTATCTAATGATACTAATTATGTATTATAAATATTAATATTCTTTTATATATAATTGGTCAAAATTAAAAAAAGTTGACTTCTCGGGAAGTAAGAATGACTTCTATTTTGAGATAGAGGGAGTAGTTCCAAGCACTAGCTTTGTTTGTAATATAGTCATCAGTAGTCATCAAAAGCTAGCCTCCCTCACCTTTCCAAAAGGAGCGACTAGTTGTTGGAGTGCAGTGACCCTGTCCCCTAGCTTCTCCTTCCTAACCTGAAATGCATTGCACGAATGAAAAATGATGCACAACTTCATCAGTTATCTAAGACTAAGATCCATCTGGGGTTTAATTTCAATCATGCATATGCATGTTCTATAGATAAACATCAACATCAAAAAATATATGTAATGAGGTGAAGTTCGTTCAAGAAAACCAATGCAAGTTGAGTAGTACTACTACTAGCAGCTTCACCGTGGGTAAAATAGAGCTAGCTAGCTAGGTTTCTCTACCACGTACCTTGAACGTTGGCAACGGCGACGGCGTCTCGAGCCTAGATTTCTTGAAGGCCGGCTCGCCGTTCGCCTTCTTCTTGGTGATGATTGAGCTAGCAGACTCTCCTACTCCTTCCAACGCAGTCTACACAGACATAACCACACCAAGGTTACTCATTACGTCTAGGTCTAGCTAGCCAATGTTGCCGTTGTCTTGAAGTAAATGTTTGCATCTTAGTATAGTCCTTAGATGTATATATATGTATACCTACCTTTAATGCAAGGGTTGCTGTAGTGCGCGCCGCCGGCGATGGTTTGACAGAGCGTACGCTGCTAGCTTGGTCAGCTGCCGCCGGCGCCGGCGGCACGCCGAACCCAGCAGCAGAGGGGTTCCAGAACGGCGCGTCGTTGGTGAACTGGAGTGCCTCCCTGGTAGCACCGGCCGGTGCAAACCTCGCCTGGCCCATGCCCATATGCTGGTACTGATCATACTGCTGGTACCCCGGCAAAGACTGCGACTTCGCCGCCGCCGCAGCTGTCGGCTCCATGAGGCTTCTTAGCAGAGACGACTGGAACCCGTAGGGCGAGGTCGGCGACAGGAGCAGCTCGGATCCGAAGGTGGACAGCATCTGCTGGTGGTCCTGCTCTTGGTGATGGTGACCTTGCATGGCCAGGGCTAGGTTATTGGATGAAGGGTTCATCAGGCTTGATGCCGTCATGGGGCTCTGCTCAGTTGTTGAGCTCATGTCCTGCTGGTGACCATCTTGCAGAAACCCATGCAAAGTAGTAGCGCCACTGCTCCTGTGTTCGAACGCATATATATACATAGATTTCAGAGCCATGTGATAGTATTTCTACATCATCATATGATAAAATACTAGCTATAAATTAATGATATATTTTCTGGCCACCCAATCGAGCCTATATTCTATGAGAATTAATACAATCAGACTTACATATAGGGATGGGTCCAGTCAGTATAACCAGCAAGAGGCTGCTGCACCACGGCGGTTCCGACGCCGGCAGGATCCGTGACGCCGGCCGGTTCTTGGAAGGTCACGGAGCTGTTGTTCCCGGGCGACTCCGATGAGGCGGTGGTGACCGCGCTCTTGGCCTTTGCCCCCTCGGCCGCCAGGTCGTAGCTAGCAGCCAGGGCGGACGACCACGTGGTGAACCCGGCCAGCTCCGTAGAGCACGTCGTCGCGGGCACCGCCGTATTCCACCAGCCGCCATGAGGGGCAGCGCTGGCGCCGACGCCGTTGTACATGACCGGAGCGGCATGCAACATCTCAGCGTGATCCCCCATGTCGGCCGATCGATCTGCTGCTCCGTTTCTTGGCTAGCTGATGATAGATGCTGGTGCGCACGCGTGCGAGGGGCGGCTAGCTACTAGAGAGTGTGTGGTGAGTGCTTGCTTAGCTTATTGGGTTGGGCAAGCCGCAAGCTTGCAGAGAGGGGAAAGATAGCTGAGCTGAGCTGAGGAAGCCGATGAGTAGTGGAAAGGATGGGGATGTGTGGGCTGTGTATATATAAACCGTTTGGAAAGAAAGGGGGTCGGAGGGGAGAATTTCGGCTGGCTTTCTGACCGGAGCTGCTGCCGCTGAGCTTAACCGGCCGGAGTCGTTAGGCGGTCTTCCGGCATTGCGTCAGATAATTCTGGTGCAACTGATCATGATCAGTCGGTAGTTCAACGACCCTAAGTGTAGTAGTACTACTGCTGCTTCTCTGCATACATTGAAAAATGCAACTTTATTATTCTTAGCTTTAGTTTAGCAGGTAGTGTTACTTCGTTTGTTTCGTAGTAACTTCTTAGGACTAGGGTTCATCAGAAAAAAAGAAAACATAAACCGGGTCAAAAACAACTAAACAACAACCGATTGGTTTGAGACTCTCACTCTCAGCACTTGAATAACAGCCAATTAGTTTAAGGTAGTATTATTTCGTTTGTCTTGTAGTAACTTCTTAGAGCATCTCCGACAGACTTTTTGCATGGTTTTTTCTATCACAAAATTTAGAAAACAAATAAAAAAAATCATGCTCCAATAGACTTTAAACCACTCACTGTCTTTTCCGTTATTCAAAACCCCCTTCTCGCTCTCCATTATGGAGAGGCTACATCACCCTCTAAAATAAATATATGGCAGTTCTCTCGTGAATATTTTTCACAAAAGAAAATTTATGGTAAGCCATATTGGAATATAGAGAATGAATGAAACTTAGAGAGTCCGTTGGAAACATGTTAGAGATATATACAAAGAATATTCATGAAATGACTATTCAAATAGAGATATAAATGTTGAAATTTTGAGAGGCTCTAAAAGTTCCTCTTAGGATTATGGTTCATCTGTGAAAAAAGGGATAAAACGGGTCAAGAAAAAACTACACAGCAACTAATTGATTTGAGACTCCTCAACACTAGAATTTTTTGGCGTTCGATCATATTCCAACCATAGACGTCCTTTGCACCACACCTGAGTTCCGATCGTCTTCCTCCACTCTGGTGAGGTTAGGGTTTTACAAGGGTTTAGGGGTTAATTTAAGAAGTGGTATTTTCACTGATACTATGACCTTAAAGAGAGGACCGGCGGCGACAACCCGGTCTGGCAGAGGTGGCAGGTGTAGGGTGGAGTGGTGAGGTGGCGACGATCATTGAGCGCAGGAGGTGGAGGAGGAGGCCAATTGGGAGGTGTACTGATGTCATGGCGAGGGTGTCAGATATCTATATCCGGGTATCCGAGCCAAAGGATTAATGAGCGTCACGTCGGCTCATCCGATGGTTAAGGACATAACTGCGACCTCGTTCGACCCCCAGGGGCCGAGCCACGCCTCGTCCGACTCTGAGGACGAGGTTTCCACCTTGTCCAACCCCAAGGCGTGGGCTCCAACTCCAAGGATGAGGTTTCCGCCTCGTCCGACCCCAAGGCGTGGGCTCCGACTCCGAGGACGAGGTTTCCGCCTTGTCCGACCCAAAGGCGTGGGCTCCGACTCCTCCGACCCCAAGGCGTGGGCTCCGACTCGTCCGATCCTGCGGGGATGACTCCGCCTCGTCCGCCCCCCAAGGGTCGGATTTCGTCTCGCCCAGCCCCCGGGGTGAGATTTCAGCCTTGCCTGCCCTCTGAGGGTCGGATTCGCTACCGAACAAAAGCAATGGCCCCAGGGTGGGACCCAAACCGCTTCAACCACTATGGCATGGAGACGCACGCCCGGGAGCACATCTCGGGCACGTCCTAATGCGACTGGCGGTCGCATCAGGCCATGCTGGGAGACTCACGTCACCCACCGCGTCAACAGGCCAGCACTGTGCTGCCAACTACCTGCCTGACCACCGTCCAACGTCAGTCGACCGGCGTCAGTTGACTGGCACTGTACCGCCAGCCCCCCGTTTGGCCTCTGTCAGGGGACCCTTTGACCATTTCGTCCGCTCGAATGGGATGGAAGACAAGAACGGCGCACGATGCCCGCACGTATGCTGCAGCGGCCAACAGGACCCTGGTGCGACGCCGCTGCCACCACGATCTACAGGGTCAGCAGGACCCACAAGAAGAGGAGGACGGCACACCCCCGGGAGCCTTATTTCTCTTTATTTTTTCCCTCTTCCCTTCTCTCGGTCTCTGATATCCTATTCTCCCCTTGGTCTATAAAAGGGAAGGCAGGGCACCGTTCAATAGGGATGGATCGATCGATAGATCAAGCAGTAGAAACATCGAGCAATCAAACCACAGAGACTTGGGAGCTCCTCCCTCTCTTGCCAGTTTGTAACCCCCTACTACAAACTCAGTGCTAGTAACACGAGCAGCCAAAAACTGGACGTAGGGACATTCGGGCCGAACCAGTATAATCCTCGTGTCCTCTTAGCACACCATCCGAGCCAGACGCGCAATATTAGAAATTTACTCGTTGGTGTTTACTCGAAACACCGACAGTTGGCGCGCCAGGTAGGGGTACTCTTGCACGTCTCAACATCAACACCAGGCCTCGGATGGCCAGTCATGGCATCAGCTGGGTCCCGGGCGCACACATGCGCTTCGAGGACCTGGACTTCATCGTCACAGCAGAGGGAGAGCTGGCGCGGACGCCTGTCGTCGTTCAACCCCTCCACTCCATCGGCCTTGACATGATGATCGAGGCGCTCGATGAGCTACGGCTGCATGCACCGGAGGCCCGCGCCCCCAGGAGCGGCCAGCTCCTCGACTTCGACTACGGGAGGTTGGAGCATTAGCTCAGCGTCTTCCTAGGACCCCAACCATCCCGAGAGGGCCTGCGCCACCTCACCTTCTCATTCACCAATGTCATGGCGTAGCTTACCAGGGGAGAGCCGCTCTCCCCGGAATACCTCATCCGGAGCGCCCCGATAGTGCTCCCGTTTGGTCTTCGCAACACCGTAGAGACCATTGGCCACCTTGTGGCGCAACGCATGATTTCATCCCTCGTGAACGACGAGTTCATGGGGGTGATCAAACATGTCGCAGAGTCTTTCCATGACCTCTTCGCACAAGAGCCGGAGTCGCCCTTTGGCTCTGACTCCAGCAGGGGAGCCATCACCCCTCTCATGAATGCTTCATGACAGGTACCCCCGAGGGACACGTCGAAAGCATCCACGAGGAGGAGGCTACCCCAACGAACAACCTCGACGATGAGGTCGAGGGGGATGCAGGAGCCCCACCCCACCTACGGGTGGAGGAACTGAAGGCCCGGCACCTAGAGCTTAAGGAAGCGCGACTCTAGCTCGAGCAGGAATGCGTGGAGCTCGATGGCGAGATCGAGCGCCATGGAGACAGGCGGGCGCGCACGCGCTATGGCCCGTAACGTGAACCGGAGGATCGTTGAGGATGATCAAGCACTCCCGCACTTCGCTCGGGTCCATGGACTACCAAGGAACTCCTCGACATCACGACCAGCCACGCTTCCGGCGAGGAGGCGATTGGAGCAATTTTTGATCGCTCCAGAGGCAACGCGAAGCGGGACAAGGACACCAACGAAGGACCCTCCGACTGTTCAAATAAAAAGAAGAGCCAGAAAGGGCCCGGGGGCTCGCTTGTGGCCGCCACTGAGCGAAAAGTCGGTCGAGCGCCGACCGAGGGCACCCCTGATCACTTCGACAAGCTACTCGAGGGGCCATGCCCAAACCACACCTTCCCCATCAAACACATGTACAAGGACTGCTCCCTCATGAAGAATTTCTTCACCGTCGGCTCCAAGAAATGGGAGCAAAAGAAGAAGCCCAAGGCAGAAGCCGACGACATCGGAGAGAAGGACGGTGGCTTTCCATTGCCAGATGGCTGCCTCATGATCTTCGGTGGGCCAGAGGCATACGGCTCCAAGCGTCGACAGAAGCTCGTGCGTCAAGAGGTCCACGAAGTCGAGCCCGCCACGCCCACTTTCCTCAAATGGTCAGGGTTTTCCATAACCTTTGACCGATCTGACCATGCGGATAGCATCACACACCTAGGTAGATACCCGCTCATGGTTGACCCTATCATCGGCACGAAGCAGCTCACCAAGGTATTGATGGATAGGGCAGCGGCCTCAACATCATGTACGTAGAGACACTTAATGCCATGGGCATCAACCGATCGCGCATCTGGCCAGTCAGGGCGCCTTTCCACGGCATCGTGCCAGGAATACAGGCCATACCGATCGGGCAGATCGACCGGCCCATCACCTTCAGGAATCTGTCCAACTATAGGACAGAGACCCTCACCTTTAAGGTAGTCAGGTTCCCCCTGGTCTACCACGCCATTTTGGGGTGACCGTGTTACGTGAAGTTCATGGTCGTCCCCAACTACACCTACCTCAAGCTCAAGATGCTGGGCCCGCATGGGGTCATCAATGTTGGCACTTCTTTCCAGAGGGCCTACGAGTGCGAGGTCGAGAGCTGCGAGCTTGCTTCGGCAACCCTCGCCTACAAGGAGCTCGCAGCCATCAGGAAGGACATCGCTGAAGGAGCACCCGATGCAAAGCGGGCGGCCGGATCCTTTGAGCCTGCAGAGAACGTCAAGGAGGTCCTCGTCGACCCCGATAACTCCGCCGACAAGAAGGTGCGCATCGGCACCACCCTCTCCCCCAAGTAGGAAGACGCGCTCATCGACTTCCTCCGCGCTAATCGAGACATCTTTGCGTGGAAACCCTCGGATATGCCAGAAATTCCGAGGGAAGTCGCCGAGCATGCCTTGAAGATCAGGCCGGGTTCCAAGCCTGTCAAACTACGCTTACGCCGCTTCAATGAGGAGAAGCAGAGGCTCATCGGCAAGGAAATCGCTAAGCTCTTGGCGGCCGGTTTCATCAAGGAAGTATACCACCCAGAGT